ATGAGATGTAGACATTCGAATTCAATGAGATCGGACGGTCATTCGCGTCCGTCAGTACCCAATCAATGTAGTCCAGGTTCGATTGTTCAATCACATCGATTGATAAGTCGTCCCAGGTGATCATGTTGTTCAGTCCCATCGATACGTGAATCAGGTTATCAATCAGCGGACTCTTCAGACCGAATGTTTGCGCATTGATACTGCTGTACACTCGGATCACACTCATGCCATTCGTGATGTCGTAGGGTTCAGTCGCTACCATGCCTGCCTCAACGACACCTTCCAACTTGAGGATATTCGTGAAATCAGGTGCGCCACTAAGGTCAACAGCGGTCGCCACGTCACTGTTCAGGTATGCTCGGTTCACATCGTCTATCTGGATGGAATCGGCGATCGCGCGGCATAACTCGGTAATCGAGTAGTAGCCAGGACCGACGTTGTAGACCATTTCAAACCCGGAGACCATCTGTACCTTCACCACATTCAACGATCGTACGTTCCATAGAGACGTCGTATCGATCTTGCACGTAATCGAAGTGATCTTGTACACAAGGTCACGAGGCATTATCACTGTATTGAACGTTTCATGGTATCGTTCATTGTTCTTCGGAATTACTGTATTGTGATTAATCACACTCACTGGTAGTGCACGACTATGACTCATTTATGTATGGGGAGACGATGGGGGCGATGTACATCGCCCCGGGAAGCCGAAGGCTTCCCACGATGTCTCCCCCGGGGGCAACGCAGTTGCCCCTACAGTGTGTGGAAGTGAATGCACACCGTAATGGGCATTGGCAAAGCAATCGACGCACCACTCTTATCGGTCAACGAGAATGACCATTTGCGACTTTTGGGAACCACGACGTTCATGTGCGCATTCTCCGTGTACACCTCGTTCAGCACGGCAAGCGGGGACTGTCGTCGTTCTTGCATGTTGTTCACTCGATCGAGCACAAGGCAGGTACCAGGCGATTCTCCCTTCATAGTCACTCTGTCGATTACCATGTCGCTTTTGATGAGGTTGTTACTCGTGAATTCATGTTCGTACGTTCGAGCAATGTTGAACACTAGATTCATTTATTGAGTACGGTAAAGCCGATTAGCAGGTAGATGTTCCCAATGAACGATAGTGGTTCATCGTTCTCGTCCTTCAGTTCGTACACGATGCGATCCAGCAATTCAGAACATGGCACCAACATGCGGTTCTTGTAGAAGTAGTTCTTGTACAAACTGTCCATCGGCACATTTGCAAGCAGTGGTATCGTCTTGCTTTTCACGATGTTGCAATACAGCCGTATGTTCGATAGACCATTCGTGATATCCACAGGATACTCGCCCACCATCGGACCGTAGTTGACATAGTAAGCACCATCGTTGAAAGGGATACGCCAGGTGTGCGACTGTGACCCTGAAGCAGGAATGATCGTTCCAAGGTTACCACTCAACGAGAACACGTAGTCCGCATGAATGTAGTAGCCATCTGACTCGGGTATCCACTGTATGTTCAGTGCAGCCGTGTCAAAACATTGGTTCAATTTCCACACCAAGTCATTCTGAGTCAGTCGTGATGGTATGCTCCACGTGAATGTCTGAGCATCATCCGTGTACGTGATATCAGTCTCAACATTCTCTCCATCGAGGCTCATCACGCCGTACGGGAAGTGTATCGCTGAAACAGTCTCGTACGTTTGAGGAAGCTCCCATTCAATGAATGAACCCGATGCAAATGAGGAAGAACCCACATATGCAACGCGTGTTGGCTGTTTGAACGACACAGTCATTTCACGATTCGTGAACACACTCGTATTGATCATGTTCGTTGCCGTCAGTCCATCAATGTTCGCCATCGCAAACTCGTACGGCGTTGTCAACTCGGGCATCCTGATGTAGTAATTGCGATGAAAGGTGAAAATGATTCCACGAGTTATTCCTGGAGTCAATGGCAAGAAGGGATTATCATTGGACACCACGATCATCGATGGAAAAGCGCCACTTCGAGGTCCCATCTGTACTTCACCGCGATGATTTTGTCTGACAAACACTTGGTATCCATCGATAGCATTGAAACCATCACGAATCAACTCCGCTATTCTCAATGCAGTATATCTTCCTCGTTCGATTGTCACAGTCCTTGTTTCGCTATAACCATCCAGACCAACAACGAGATGTGATGTATCAACCCACACACTATCATTGTACACACTATCCTTGGAATACAATGGACCAAATGTTCCACCTCGTTTATCCGCATTAATCATCATGGGTACACTCATATTCTCAGCTGTCAACGTGAACTCGAGGTCAGGAGCGTAATCCTTTGCAGTCCATGTCGCCATATTGCCCGCTTTGCCAGCAGTCCATGCGATGGCTTCCTGGTGCGATGATGTGATATTCATCAACCTTTGATATTCCCCATTCAACTGAGACACACATGAACTCATGAGATTATCCAAGGTCATCAATGAATCCGTATCATCTGTAATCTTGAGAGTACCTGTACCAAGTATTGATCCATCACTATTCGTCATCGTGTACGCTACTTGTGGACGCAGTATGAAGAAGGACGTATTCGTACGCATCACCCAATCATACTCGACATAGCACGGATCGAGGTATGCATGTCCGCCAAGTCCTTGATCATTCGTCTCATCGGGTGGGGTTTCACTATTCGCAGGATCGAATTGAGTCTCAACAGGTCGTTCGATGCACAGGTTTCGTACCGATGGTGACAGTTTGAACCATGGAGTCCATTCAAAACCATCGATCGTCGTGTTCACACTGTATCGATCGAAGTACCACGATTCACTTTGGTCATTGAAGCGTACATGGTCATCCTCGATCGTCATGGATGTGAGTGGCAGCACTTTCACCATTTCAGCACCCACAGCCTCGATAAACTCACTGAACGTGTAGTATCCAGTAGGCAATGTCAACACGTGCGAGTCGGTGCCGTCAGTAACAACCACTTGATTGCACGAGGACGACATGTAGTACCGTTTCGGATTGTCCAGTCCTTTCACCAAGCTGTCCGATTCGAATCCGAGGATCGATTTGATCTCTGGTGCCTTCGTGAAATCAATCGTGTAGAAGTGATTCACCGTGACGTGGAATGCGTTCTCACCACTGTATACCACTTCGAACAGGGCATCACTCGCATTCAGCATTGCAATGATCGTCTCGATGTCGTATGCACCGCGTGGTATCGTGATCTCTTGAGTCGTACTGCCAGCATTGATTAGCACCACTTGATCAGTCGGCACGTTGTGCAACACGAAGTCCGTATACAACGACACAGACGAGATGTAGCACTGATCGAACGAGAGAGGATTGTCCAGCTTCACTTCCTTCTTCGTGGTATTGCCGAACACTTCAATCATACTGAACTGGTTCGCAGAAGTGATGCTATTTTCACTTTGCTCGTACACGTCTTCTATCGTCAACTGGAGTTCGAATTCACCATTCAATCGTATCATCTTGCCTTCCATATCGCGGAACACGAACATCAACCGATCAAACCGAGTGATCATTGGAATGCACACGTCTTCCACACTTCGCACGTACTCAACCGTTGGATCGTCAATGATCATCGTGGTGAGCAAGTTGTTGTTCTGGTTGGCAATCTTCAGGTCCGATGATCGCACGATCGTCGAGTAGACCTGGATCACTTGGCGATTTCGCGTGATATCAATCACGTTCGAACCGTAGAACGAAGAAGGCAGAATGATCGTTCGTCCTTCCAAACCGAGGATCTCACGAATGTCAGGTGCATCTGTGAAGTCAATCGTGTGTGGGGACTGAATCCAGATACAACCGAATGACGAGGCATTCGTAGATATGGAGAACAGCGTGTCAGACATTGTATTGAGCAAGGCAATGATCTCACTGAGCGTGTAATAACCAGCAGGGATCGTCACAGTCTCGTCATTGCTGTTAGTAACCACATTGGTCGTGTCTACGTTATTAAACATCGAACCATTAGGATGAAACAGGACAGTCATGGAAGTGATATAGGGATTCTTGTACTTGTACGGATTAACCCATGTAAATGAACCGTTGGTAGGTGAGCCTTGAATAAGCATGGAGTAGTGCATGGTCTTTCTCTCTTTACCTTAGTCAACAAGACAATGGGGAGGAATCGAAGATTCCTCCCGGGGCAACGTACGTGGGGGAGCATAGCTCCCCCGGGACGACGAAGTCGTCCCTCGTTGCCCCATCACACCCATGGATACCATGGCCTACAATGGAAGTCAGGTTAACATTGCAGAAATTTGCCGAAATTAGCAGCCATGTGTTTCCGCGCGTTTCTTGTTATGGACAATAAGGTAGCCAGGCAGGCAATGGTAGAAAATGGCAGGAAATGGCAGAAAATAGAAGTCAGGTTAAAAAAGACGACATTTGCCAAAAAATGGCAGGAAATAGATTTCCGCGTGTTTCTCGTCATGGTCATCGAGGTAGCCAGGTAGGAAATGGCAGGAAATGGCAGGAAATGGTAGAAAATGGTCGAAAATGGTCGAAAAAAGTTCACCGCGATTATTTGGTAGGAAATGGATTTCCGCGTGTTTTACGCCATGGTCATCGAGGTGACCAGGCAGGCAATGGTCGAAAATGGTTGAAAATGGCAGGAAATGGCAGAAAATGGTCGAAAAAAAGTTCACCGCGGTTATTTGGTAGGAAATGGATTTCCGCGTATTTTACGTCATTCCCCTACTACTAGAGTTACTTATCGAACTTTAAGATACTACCTGCCTATACCAGAAATTGCCTTGCTGAGCAAGTATCTAACTCACTACGTTTGCGAATGAGCATTTTCAGTCGATATTGGATTATATTGTTATTCTAATGGTCCATTTATCCATGGATACTGTCCTTTCCACAACCTCATGCTTTCGACTAAATTATGCGCATCTAATTATAGTGTGTATCACATCCTATTCTCCTTGTGTGTATTGTGATTACAAACAACAAACGGATTTGTAAAACAAACAACTTCAACCAGATTAAGCATTTACACCATTCACAACCTGAACCGGAAATACGCTTCCAAATTTGTATCGAAGGACAACAGCAACAACAGAAAAGAAGAACTGAACACCCAGCAACACCCGAGTGGTCGTGTGCTCGCCCAGAGGTCCAAACAAGGAAAGAACCACATTGATCAACGTGAGATTGATTCGATTATAATACGGACTCGTTGGATTACTCGAGATCACGCTGGGTTTCAATTTCTGCGTGTCGGGATCGACTCTACAAAAGAAACGCGGAGCATTGCAACCTGGGAAGTCGATGTCTGGGACAAGGAATCAATTTGAAGAGCTGAGGCAGCGAGAGGATAAAATTCACGAGTTGCGGGATAAAAAACAGAAGCAGCGACTTGCTAAAATGCCCAAAAATCCCCACTGCCGCAAACGTCACGCCCGCAGAATAGGTAAACGTATCCCCGACAAACACCCTCGCGGGATAGCAATTGAAGTCGAACAAAGCGAGCGACGCCGCGATGAAAGGCAGCACCATCGTGGCCGAAAACACGTGATTCTGCACGTAGTCCGCATCGCCGCCGATGAGGATGTCGACGATGTTGATAAACAGAAGAGAGCAAGCGATCACGATCGATTGTCCCACTTCGAGTCCGTTGATGCCTGCGTAAATGTTGATGCTGTTCGTGCAGAAAATGCACAGCATTACGATGTAAATGTAGTACCATCCGTCTACTTCGAATCCTCTTCGTTGGACTACGGAGATCGATCGCAGTGCCGTAGGGCTCTCCGCTGACTTCGGCGAAGATGGAGACGATTTTGCCGAGAACGGAGAGATTGTCCTTCGAAGTGCCCAAAATTGTTCCCACAAAGCTTGAATTAAGGTCGATGGGTGAGAGTACGATGGAAAAACGATCGTAGTGGATTGGTGTTGCGACCAGTAGGCTTGGGCTAGAGGAAGCGTGGCTATACACGGTATGATGAGTTTGTATCGCCATCGCAGCTCAATAACGTCGTCAACGAATCCCAAGAGAGTCATCAGACTGATTGATAAAATCGCTGCGTTATATTCCGCCATCTACCTCAAAAACGAGAAAAACCCAAACCTTTGCATTGTTCTTAAGATTAATCATTTCAAGAATGATCATTGATAGGATTTGAATAAGTGCTGTGACAATCCCGTCCTCGAGACTAAAGGTTAGCTAAGGCCAAGTTGGGCTTTA